AATGAATGTGAGAATACATCATGGGGCGTCAGGTATGTGGTGAGAGCGACTGTGAAGCTACGTCAAAGGAGGCACTCACTAATGCACTATTACATAGTGTTTGTCGCCTTCGACAACCACAGGCGTATGTACACCTCCATCGCTATCTGTACATTGTATGTTGGAATAATGCAGGATTTCAACTTCAAGAGCATCTAATCGTCGGCATCGGATCATTCGAGATCTACCAACTGATGCTGACGTGTACCCTGACCATTTGACGAAGATTCAGAGCACCTGGCGTAAGATTCCGATCTCCGTTCGTTTTTTTGGGTGCATTGAGCGATGCGTGTTCCGAGACCGTGGGGTCACATGGATTGCGATATAGCGTGCGATGATCTTCTGGACCAGTGGAGATAATCACACTACTACGAGCAGTGCACTAAGAAACATGATGTCGATGGTGCAGCTACAACCCTGCCTTTGGGTCTGATCTACAGAACAAAGGCCTGTAAAGGTTATCTGCCACCGAGAATAAAGAAGCATTTGGTCTTCACACGCTGTTCCATCATGTTTCTTTCACACCATCACGATAACCTACAGATATCGATGATGGTCCAGCATAGCTATCAGAATCTTGCCAGCAAAGGAGATTGTCGTGTCTTCTACGTGGTCGGAGGAAAAGAAAGAGAGACAAATAGCTAAATCTATAAACTCCCCAGTTAAGTACTCCCAGAATCTTNAGAACAACTCACACCTCCAACCAAAACCTTGAAGCCTGACCAGACCTCGCAGCAATGGCTGCCCTCATCCAATTCAACGCCATCCACGCAAAAACAAAAGAACAACTCCGAACTCTCAACCTCACCTCCACCCCTCCCCCCATCCAACCCCACCTAAGCCCCTACGAACCCCCCTTCGAACGCGACCCAAAAGCCTTCCCACAAGACGAAGAGTCCCACGACCCCGACGACAACAACACCTCCCCCTACACCTCCCTCCCAGGCATCTCCCTCCAAGCCACCAACTCAGGCTCACACTTCTACCTCGTAACTTGGGACTCCGCCTCGGACCCGACCAACCCACGCAACTGGTCGCTTTCCAAACGCCTAAAAGTCCTCTTTCTGCTAGACCTCGTCGCTGCCGTCGTAACAACAGCAAGCTCCATCGAAGCCCCTGTCGCCCCACAGAGCGCTGCCTTCTTCCACGCTTCAGAATCCGTACACGCATTTTGCAGCACGGGGATTTATCTCATGGGCTTCGGCCTGGGCTCGCTGGTTGCAGCACCGGCGTCTGAGATCTTGGGGCGCTACCAGGTGTATCTGTACTCGCTGGTGACGTGCGAGTGCTGGCTCATCGGTGCAGCGCTCGCGCCGAATTTAGCCTCGTTGGCGATATTCCGATTCTTGGCTGGCTGTTTTGCGTCTGCACCGACGACGGTGGCGGGAGGTAGTATGAGCGATCTGTGGTCGGCGCGGGAGATGACGTGGACGTTTCCTGTGTTTGGGGTTGTGGGGTTTGGCGGGCCCGTACTGGGGCCTGTGATTGCGAGTTATATTGGGGAGAGCAAAGTGGTAAGTTGGCGGTGGGCGGAGTGGATAATTGTGGTTTTGACGGGGGTTTGTATAGTAGTTGTTGCGGTGGCGATGGAGGAGACGTATCCGCCGCAGCTGCTGAAGTTGAAGGCGAAGCAGTTGAGGAAGTTTACAGGTGACAGAAGGTTTAAGACGGCGGAGGAGGATGAGGATGAGGGGCTTGGAAGCAAGCTCAAGAAGAACTTTACTCGGCCGTTTCGTCTGGCGCTTGAACCGATTGTGGTTTTGCTAACGTTCTACAATACGCTCGTGTATGTGGTGTTGTTCACGTTCCTCGTGGGTTACCCATACACATTCCAAAAGACGTACGGAATGAGCCAGGGACTCAAGAACTTATGCTTCCTTGGCCTGTTGGTTGGCATCCTGCTATCGACAGCTCTCATTCCCTTTATTTGGACAAAAACAGAGCGGCTGTGCCGTGAGAAAGGAGATGATGGCTCGGGAAAATCGATTCCCCAGGAGTCGCGGCTGATGTTTGCAATGTTTGGGGCACCATTCATACCGATCGGGCTCTTCTGGATGGGCTGGACAAGCTATGTAAGGATAGAGACGCACATGCTTCTTAATCGGTTTATTAACGTAAAACAGGAAACTATATCAGTTTGGTCACCACTGGCTGCCTCAGTCGTCATTGGTTTCGGTACGGTATGCATATTCATGAGCACTTACCTGTATATCATCGACAGCTATCAGATGTATGCTGCATCTGCACTGAGTTTCCAAACTACTGTGCGCTATGTCATAGCCAGCGTCATGTAAGTTACAAGTTCTAGATGTTCTCTAGAGACTCTTTATGAGACTGATTGAAAATAGGACAATTGGCGGTACAACAATGTATAGGGACATTGGAACGCACTGGGCGCTGACCGTGCTTGGGTGTATTGCCATAGTTGTTACTCCTGTTCCATATGTCTTATACCGCTACGGCGAAATTATTCGCAGAAAGAGTAAATTTGCCGTTAGATAGTTGCGATACCAATATCAGTAGTTATGTTACATATAAGTATGCTGACATGCGGGACTACCCGCCTTCAAGTTAGTACCCCACTCTAGTAGAGACGATCGCTTAGGGTTATCGCTTAGGTGTTACAAGTAACAAGAAGGATTCTCTCCTTGACAAACGACGAGAAGGCTGAAGGCCTATGGACGTCCACGTCAGAAGGTAATGATCATCGCGGGGCTAGGTCACGTGATGTGCTATCACGCCAAGACAGTGCCATTAGTGATGGCAGGGCTGTTATGTGACGGCAGCCATCAGAAGCGGAGACGACCATTAGTGATGGCAGGGAAGGAAGGGAAGGCAGGACTGGAAGCAATGAGGATATAAGGATGGATGGATTTCATTATTACTCTCGTTGTGGTCAACTCAAATTGTACTTTCTTACTAGTTACTTTACTTAACAAGATTATTACCTGTTAGTCTATAGCAATATAGATTAGGTTGTCAACCCCTTTGTTACCTTTCTACTAAAGCAAGCCAATCCACTGTCTCGCCAGACAAACCTCACGGAACACTAGCGTAAAGCTCACCGGCCTTAGTGTGGGACCCGGCAAGAGAAGTATAGATCCTAACCACGTGTAACATTAGGGTTATCGCTTAGGGTTCAGAGGAACATCAACACTAAAACTTCCTATCAAAGTACAACGCGACACACTATCGCAATCATCGCGAAATTTAGACATAGAGTAGCTGCGCACGTACTACACGTCGCATAGAAGTTGCGTTACTTTTTAACCTTGTTACGGGCAAAGAAAGGGACTCTAAAGTTTCAAAGAAAGAGACTCTCCTGTCCGTGCGCGTAGATTAGATTTGTTAGGGAAAACAATTAAAGGGACTCCCTTTGTTCGTATAATAATGTGAGCCGCTACAGCGGTTATCCCCCTACTGCTATCCTCCATCTTAATCACCCTTTCCATCCACTCTTCTCCTTTCTTCCTTTTTTCTTACCTCCTTTTCTATTCTTACTATTATCTCTTATTTTACTCTTCCTAATTAATTCTTTTCTTTCTTATAACAATTTTATTTTGTCTATTATATTCTTTTTAATCTCTTTAACTATAACGTGGTTCACAAGCGAGTTAGACACCCAACTGAGTCGGACACACCCTACTAACGCGTCAACGACGACACTATAACACGTTATATCTTAATAACGCAAATGTCTATTAATATATTCTAAATCTAATCTTCAACTTACTCTTTTTAACGTCTAATCACAACGTGTTTAAAGCTAAAGACGTGCTATTTCTATCTATAACGTGCCTCAAAGTACTCTATCTAACTAACACGCTAGAAAGCGCTTTCGACGCGACTGTAAACTAAATACGAAGCGCCTAAATAAGCTAGAAGAGGAGGCTATAGTTAAGCGTATTCTTAAAGAGTCTACTGTTACAAGTAACAACGGAAAGGATCTTCTCCCCTGTGCTGATGGTATAGTGGTTGGGAAGCCACTCGGGATACTAGCAGCAAACGACGGACATCGCGGGGCTAGGTCACGTGATGTGCCATCACGCCAAGACGGTGCCATCAGTGATGGCAGGTTCCGTATGTGATGGCAACCATCAGAAGTGGAGACAACCATCAGTGATGGCAGGTCGATGCTCTGATGGCAGGACTGGAAGCAATGAGGATATAAGGATGGATAGATTTCATTATTACTCTCGTTGTGGTCAACTCAAATTGTACTTTCTTACTAGT